AGCTGTTGTGCTCACATACCATCTGTCACATGGCTTTATGATTATTCCCATAATAAAGCAAAATAACCTAAAGCAACCAGTATCAATTTCTTTAATGCCTTTAGTGACTTGGACTATGTATATTAATGGGATATGTTTAACCCTATTAAATCTGATAATAGTTTGTCTTATTTTTGTGAAGATAAATGCAGTGTTACAACATAGTAATGTATTTATATTATATTAAGTACATGAAACAAGTCAGTTAAAATTGTAGTAATTCTTCTTATATTACTTAGTTCTATTCTTCCAGGCATCCTTTATGGAATTAGTTGATGTCCTTGTAAACCGTGTATATAAAAGTCATAATCTTGAACTAGCCCTATAGCTTAGGCAAAGGTTGTATACCATAATGATTTCTCAGTAGGACTTGTACTTACTTGACCCTGTTCCTGTTTCATAATCTATTGGGGTGAGGGTGGTACAGAGACTTATATGTGTTGTGGGTTTACCACCTCCCTTTGAAATGCATTATGAGAATAATTGTTGATTAGGTACTCTGGGATTATAGAATACCACACCATAACTTTTCTCTAACTTGAAAGTAAGATATCATCATTATTCTAATTCCTGTCATTGTTTTGAGTTAATGTGCTTTCTTTTTCTAGCTGTCAGAGTAGTTCAATAAAGAATATTGAAGTTCATAAGCTGAGATAAAACCACTGTGATTTGTAAGAATAATGATTTTTTATTTTGTTCATTTACTCTTGTTTGCTTCTTTTCTTTTTACTGTCTGTGTTCAAAATTATTCTTTGCTTAACATTTCCTGAATCTGTTATTGATTGCATATACTTACAGCTATTCTCATGGAACATGCTCCACCAAAAGAAGTAGAGTGTGTTAGTTTTATATTGATTTTAACTTTATACAATAAGTTATTGTGCATTTTAAAAATGTTGGAGTCTCCAACTGATTATATTATTTGTTACCATTCTATCTTCAATTTTGTCTGATTCGTTAGAAATATCATCAGTTATTTTCACATTAACCTGAACAGCTTCTGATATAGTTGTTCTTGTGCCATTTCAATATCAGGGATCACAATATTGATGTTACATGTGACAGCACCCTATATCACCATTCTTGTACCTGCTTAACCTAGGTTAGTATGGGTGGGCCACTCTGACAGTTGAATGCAGTGCAGAAAGAGAAAGTACATCTTTGCATGGAAAAGGACTCATCCTGGCCAGGTGGTTAGGGCGCTTGACTCGCAATCTGAGAGTTGCTGGTTTGATTCCCTGTCCCACAAAATATGCTCACCCTTTCAGCCATGGGGGCATTATAATGTGATGGTCAATCCCACTATTCATTGGTAAAAGAGTAGCCCAAGAATTGGCGGTGGGTGGTGATGACTAGCTGCCTTCCCTCAAGTCTTACATTGCTAAATTAGGGACAGCAAGTGCCAATACCCCTCGTATAGCTTTGTGCGAAATTCAAAAAACAAACAAACAAGCTAGGAAAAGACAACCCTTTTAAGTACTTCATACAGTCCATCCTGAGACAAATGTATTTGTGTGTATGATACAGTCTGCTTCAAATAGTATACACCAGTATCATTGACTGCATAAGTTATAAAGACAACTTTGAAAATTGAAAAGTTACATTGCCTGTTTCAGTATTTTTCTCCATTTTTTTAAACCTTCAGACAACAATTTATTAGATTATATTTGGTTGTTTCATCAGCTCTAGCATGCTTATGTGATAGCAAAATCAGTTTTTCTTTGTTTTGCATGAAAGCAGGCTAATAGAAGTTCAACAGGGCAATAACAACTCTTACATAACCCACTATAAAAGGAATCTGCTGACTAGTGCATACCATGTCCAGTATCTTCCAATGTGTCAAACTATCATTTATTTCTTCTAACCTATCTACTTTTGTGGAAAGCCTCAAATGGGTGGAATACATTGTAGAATGTTGATGTGGTTTTTAAATATACCATCCATTTCTACCTTCCTATTTTGATATAGTGTTATTCTGTATATGTACAAGTTTCATATGTCATGTGGTCAAAAAAGTTATTTAGTTGATGATGTTTTAGTTGCCTTTTGTTCTTTGTCATTCCATTGAGATCACACATATTCTGTACCTGAAATGCATGGTTGTAATGCTGTACATTGTGAAAGAGTGTCCTTCAGTGGTAGGTCAGATGGTATCTCAAGGTTACAGCCTAACCAGCCATATGGGTTGTGCTAGTTGCTCTGGGTAAATCCAGTGTTACCTGTGAAGTAAGAAACGTTAAACAGCCTGGTATACAGCATTGCCCATTCCATCATTCTGTAAAATCAAGTACAGACACTGTTTATATATATATATGTTAAACATTTCTTTTTCACCAAGGTGAAATTGAAAAAAGAATCTGTAATGAAGAGGCCTAATGGATTCTTTGATTGGTGAAGTAAAACAGACTCAAAATCCCATAGATAAATAACACACTATTTTGATAAAGTGATAAAATAAAGATTGCTTGTTTGTTCATGTTCTATTGTGTCCAGTCTCTTTATGTAATGCTAGAGAATTCAGTTACGAAGCAGTTCAATAATACTTCAAATTAAATATATTGTTGAATCTCCTGTTATTAAGTGTACCTATCCTATAAATTCAAGGTTAACTGAGTTTTGACTGAATACACCCCACTAGTTACACTCCTTTGCAGGAATAATGGTATTTGGGATTTCCCACACAGTTTGTGATGGAGATCCAATGTATCTCCAAATCCTCTATGCATAACAGCCACTTTATATGGATATATTCAGGTGCAAATGTTTTCAACATCGTTTGATAATATGTGACAAGTAGTTACTATATCATTTCTTTACCCATTAGCAAGATATTACACAATGTACCCATCACATTATTAGTTTGACAAGTGGCTGCTGCTTGTGCATGTTATAGCTTCAAGTCTGGAATGCATACTTGACATTTTTCTGTAGATACATATGTGCAATCTAAAATAGAATGACAACATTGTTGCTCCCTTCTACTAAAAGGTCCCATATAAGAGGATAGATATGATTAGATATAAATTTTTAACAGCTGGTAAGTCTAAACTCCAAATACAGAGGAATAAAATCACTCACCAAAGTGGAAAATCTCGAATGTAATGCTCTATTTAACACACAAAACTTCAACAAACTCAAAATTATAGACAGAATTCAGCTGGATAATACATTATGGAATTTAAAAAGGAGAGCTCCAAAACAGACTTAGTCAGTCCAGTCAGATTAAAGTATTGACCATCAGTTAGTTTGTGAGACCTGACAACATCCATTCCACTTAACCTTATTTGCTACTCCTTGTATGTTTTTCAGAAGATCAAATAAATTCATTCTGTTACAATTTATATGGTTTCTCATCTTTTCTTCTATCATCTGACATGAATTAGGTGCAAACTGCTTTTTGTGTAAATCATTTTTGTAGACCAGACATTAGCATTGATGACATTATCATGAATAATAAATACAGAGCTTTTAACTTGATGTAACACTAATATTACTTCACTGTGTGCATTATAAACTACTCAGTAATGAATGTAACAAAACATCATTGATTTTGTGACTGTATGTGTCACTATGCGATTGACCATACCGAGTGGATTGCGATTTCAATGATTAATACATAGGATGTATATAAGGTTGGTGTAGATTTGTTCATTGATTACCTTTTGGACGTTGAGCATTTGAAAAAGAAAATAAAAGGATTAAAGATTTTGAAATATAGAAAAGACGGATCTTTACACTTCAGCACAAACAGTAATTTTTGTATGAGAAAATAAGTTGTGCCATCTTTAAACAATATCTTCTTTTAATACTTGTAACCCCTCATAACGACAAGCAAAATACTGAAGACTGCAGTTATTTGGATATAGGGCCCGCATTAAAAAACAAATGAAAAGTGTTAAAATTTTCATTAGAATAGCACAAATGGGCCTACAGGGGTTTCATAAAAGTAGAAAAAACGAGTTTGTTTGTAATTAAGCACAAAGCTACACAATGGGCTATCTGTGCTCTGGCCACCACGGGTATCGAAACCCGGATTCTAGCGTTGTAAGTCCGCAGACATACTACTGGGGGGGGGGGGGCAGAAAAAAAAAGAGAAGATAAAGATGTGACAATAGTCAAGCTCATTCCTGAAATTATACGTACCCTTAGTAATTCCATTACAAGTGACATAACTTTCACAGTCAGTAAACATTTATAACTTTGACTTTGTGGGCAAAATTTCCATCTCATAGACCATTGTTTTTAGAAAAATAAAACCCCAGTTTTTTGCAAGAATATATTCTGCGGTAACACAGAGACCATCAAATATATTGTTGCGTCAGCGAGGTCACATGACTGGTGACGCCGCGTTTCTAGAACTATCCTGTACCTTGGCGAATGCTCTGGCATTTGCTAGATGTAGGGTGGACTGGTGTATAAAAGAGGGTGACAACGTGACGGAATAATAAGGTAGCGTGTGTGTCGATAGTGAGTAATTGAACTGCAGTCAGAAGTATTGTTGACGTTCGTTGATATAGCGTTTGTTATAGAGCGACTGGTGAAAATAAGTGTATCGTAAAGTTGTATTCGGAAAGAATAAACCAGTTTTATTAAGTAAGGACATGTGTCGCTAAAGTTTCGTCGGAACGAAGTTACGGAAAGTTAATTAACAAACGGAGACGTAATATCTATGAATTGAGCTTAACTGTCAAGATCTAAATTTTCAATATAGGATCCTACATATAACTCTTAATTCATGATATATGGCTGTTTAACAACATTATAAAATAATTTATAAACATGTATATTATTATATTGTCGCTTTCGTTTGCAGAAAGCTGAGGCTTAAAATTTGACCATCAGATTGAGTTATTCAACGTGTTCTGTACGCTAAGAAGGACAGCTCTATTATTTTTTTTTTTCGTTCCTCAAGAAAACACCGGTTATTGCACAAAAGTCGTTTGTAATTACCAGCTGACGCCCAAAACACCTATTTTACCATCAGAAAACTTATTTTAAGGGTCTACTTTATAAGCTTGTGTTGTTATGATAAATGACCAACACAAAAGAAAATACTATAAAATATTAAACACAACACCATTTAAACCATAATTTAAGAAGTGAGATATCTTATCAAATTACTTAATAGTATGATGAGACAAAAAATGAGTAATTATGATTATGTTATTTTATTTGTACAAAAGCAGTTGTTTTATTTCTATACCATTTTACTTTTAATTCTGTTTGTGTCTTAACCGTTTAGATGGCGCTCCAAAACATGGAATTATATACTATAATAAACGCTGTGATAGCGTAAGTGATAGTCCATGCTATCGTAGAGTTAAATTTACGGTTTTAAAATCTGAAACATAGCATGACGCTACTACATGAAAAGAGTTTACTGTGTTCAAGTATATTTAGTGCGTGTGGAACTATACTAACGTTTGTAATACATAATATAATCTACGGTATAAATAATGACCCAACCAGCGGTGTGCCTTTATTACTGGGATCGATGACTGTTGTCCAGCTTGTTTCGAGTATGTTTGGGAGAATTGGCACCAACGTCAAAAAATGTAAATACAAACGCGGTTTGCCAGTACACCAGGGTCAAAGAAAAGAGCTCAATACTGCATTAGATAACCAACACAATGAATATGTGGATGTTTTTGTAAAGTTCCTTTCTCAATTTGGCAATATATTGAAGATTATGACATTGCTAACTGTTAGCTTTTATGTTATAGCTGTGTTATTTGGTGCTCCTGTGTTTCATGATATTATAGAAACTGTGTACTTCAGCTTGCTTCTGTCAGTCTTATTAGGCATTCCACTGTGTATTTTGATTGAACCAAGTATACTTGCACTTTTTCAGATCATATTGGAAAGAAGTTGCCATTCAATCCAAGAAATACACTGCTTGAACCTTGTGTATGGTAGTCTTGTTGGAGCATGGGTTGGAGCTGTGGCCATACCGTTAGACTGGGATCGGCCTTGGCAAAAGTGGCCTTTTCCTTGTTGTGTGGGGGCTTTAGCAGGAAATGTTGCTGGGAATGTTATTAGTTTACCATTAATCATAAAAAATATGCTGAGCAAAAAGAAAAAGCACTTTTGATGCACTTCCTCATTAATTTAATAAAATATGCTAGAGATTTTCTCAAATTTAATCACATAAAAATGGGATGTATATAACTATTTGTAATGAATAGAAAAAAAGAATTGTTTGCTGCAGTTAGCTAATTAATACTAACACTTGTTGAAGATGGAAAATTTAGTTTTTACTTAACATTATGAAATGATGTGTGACTCTATCTGTGAAATTTGTATCATATGAAAATAGTATATAGTCTGAAATATTAAATTCTGTTTAGTTTTATTACTCTTAACTAAAAACTTTACACTTGTATGCAACAAAGAAAGATATGAAGTTTCAGATGTTATGTCTTACTGACTCCTAGTAGTGTAAAGGTAGTTCTTACAGTTTGTGAACCTTCAATTATCAGTTGCAATATAAGATACAGATAACAATAGAACATTAATTTCTTCAAGGCTGTTCTTGCAGAACATTAAGAAATGAAAAAAATTTAACTCAACTTTTATTTATCATGAAATTGATTTTTTTTTTATAAGCTCTTGTTAAGTGCCAACCTTCACTACTTTTGATGCTAACTCATTTCATAAGCCAAGCATCCTGTTAGAAATATAGCACTGTCTTAACTTGAGCCTAGTCTGTCTTGTTCCAGATCTTAAACTTATGTCTTTTCATTGTAGAATACAAACCACAAAGAAATCAGAAGCCATTATCCTGTTGAACTCCCAGATAGTTTTGTAAACTTCAATAAGATAATTTTTTTACTCTTATTTTTTCTCAAGAGGAAAGACATTAAGAGATTTTTAACCTATTCGTATAAAATAATTCTTCCATGCCCAGAATCATCCTAGTAAATATCCTCTGAACCCTTTCCAAAAAATCAGTATCCTTATTTAGGTAAAGAGACCAAAACTATACATTATTTGAAGTGAGACCTAACTGTTAATTTGTATAGAGAAATAGACTTTTTTAAGATTGTACTAAATACATCTTATAAATACCCCCTAAAATTATGTTAGTTTTAATGCTAGCATCACTGCCTTGATGGTTTAAATGACTTAACTATCTATGCCAAGATGCTTTTCTTCAACCATGCTATTGGGTAGGTTCCCATCTATATAAGAAGTGGGATCCAAATTATTGTAATCTAAATGTATCACGTTGTACTTGCTACAGTTAAAGGTAATTTGTTTAACTTACCAATTTGTTCTAACCATTATGTGGTACCTCAACATCATGAGTACAGTTAAGAATATGCAAGAGTTTAATGTCATCTGAAAGCTTTGGTAATTTACTAATTATTTTTCTATCAATATCATTCAAGTAAGTAAGAAAAAGCAACTGCCCATGCACTGATCCCTGAGTCACTATGCTATTAATAAGGTTGCAGTTTGACTGAACTCTATTAATAACTACCTTTTGCCCTCTCTCATCCAACCACCCTACAATTCAATTAACTAGTTACTGATGTGATTTTCTTAACTAACTTTTGTGAGTCATATTATCAAAAGTTTTGTGAAATGTAAGTACACCAAGTCCACATCCTTTCCATTGTCGATATAACAAGTAGCATCTTCGAAAGAAGTCAACAGATCAGTGAGTTAAGATTTCTTTTTAGTGAATCCATGTTAGCTTTCATTTATGATATCATATTTCACTAAATTATTTGCAAAGCTTCTTTTATTAGACTAACTAGCATATAATATTCAGGACAAATCTATCACCCCCTTTAAGAATAAGTAGCAGTATTATTCTCCAACACTTGAGTTCTGTACACTGTTTATAGACCTCCTAAAAATGAAAGAGAGGCTAATATGTCTGATCTGTGACTTTAAGATCCCGAGAAAAATCTTGTCTGGTTATTATGCTTTATTGGTTTTTAATCTATAAAGTTAGCTACTTACTGCCAAGGGATTAATATTTATAATGGTTCAGGTTAATTCCAGAATTCCCCATAGAATGCTCAAGGTCAGGAATGTTGCTAATATCTACTCTTGTAAAAACAGAACATTTAAAAGCTCAGCCATCCTATAGTTTTATACAAAAACCCTGCTATCAGTAACTTTGAATGGTCCAATTTACATTTTAACATTTTGCTAACATTCAAACATACTTAAAAAAGCTCTTGATGTTAGTTTTAACAGTATTAGCCAGCTCTTTCTCACTAGCCTTTTTGGAATTCCTAATTTCTTTTTTAACCAAGACCCTAACTTTCTTATGGTTCTCTAAGTCTCCCATCCTATCTGTCAATTTATTATAGTTCTTAAACTTGTAGTATTTATCCTTGATTTTGTCCTTTATGTCTCTAGTAATACATTTAGGTTTTATCTTCACTTATATCATTTTCCTTATTTTAGGACAATGCATAACTTGAATTAAAAGGCATTTTTTTTATTTCCCAAATCTGTCACACATTACCCTTTAGCTCATTCCCCTAATTCATTAATAATAAATACTAACCCATGTTCTCAAAATTTGCTTTCTGAAAAATTAAGAAATAAAAATCTATTTCATATTTTCTCAACAGGTAGCAAAATTTCAATAACTATAAACTGATCCCCCACTTAAATTCTTGTAATTATGTCCACATTAGTTGATATCATTAAATCTAAACCGCTTCTTCTATTTGACCCTGTGACCATTTGATATTGAAAATCATCCTTAATCACTTTGGCATATAAATATACCATGCATTTCTATTTTCTTCGAATATTATAATATTTATTCTGAATTTATTGTTTATTCTGTATACATGCAAGTTTCACATATGTGGTAAAAAAAACAACCTGTTAAGTTGATTTTGTTTAAGCTGTTTTGTTATTCTCAAATAGATAATACCTGTTCTGTCCATGACTGACATTGCTACAATATTGCACACTGTGCAAGAGTGTTGACAGCAGGGTCCTTTGGTGGTAGTTCAGATGATATCTTGAGGTTTCTAATTAACCTGTGTTTGAATAAAATTGACCAGTCACATGTGTGACCCTTCTGGGTACATGCAGTGTTGCTTACTTAGTAAAAAAAAAAAATTTGATTAGTCAATCTGAAAAAGATCTTCAAATAGGCTGGTACATGGATTCAGTTTGAATATACAAGATCCATTAGAAGCAATTATCCTTTTTTTTTTTAAAGTCAAGTACACACACACACTGTATTTGTGTTATATGTCTGTTGTAATAAAGATTGTTCATTGCATATTTCACTGTGTGTTCAGTCTCTTTTCTTCATATATTTTCATGGCTCAGTTATTCAGAGATTTTGCATTATTTAATAATTAGTATCTTGACCAAATCTGCTATTAAGTAGACCTAACCTATTGATCCAAAGTTAATTCAATTTCACCTGGCTATACCACATTAATAAGAAACCTTTCTGCCTTGCTATTTAACTCCATATAATCCTTATGACTGTCTAAAATTAGTCTCTCATACTTATCACATAAGTATTCCTTATTAGTAGCAACCCTAATCTCTTTCTACAGTTTATCATTCACATCATCTGTATGATCATATGGCTTATAAAAGTTTTAAATAAAATAAATTCTACCCTTAAAACCCCTGATTGAAACTAATATGGTTTCAACAACTTGACTACTATGTTTCATGTCTTCAGTCCCAACAACCATCAATTAATCCCTTATATATAAAGTTAATTCTCCCAGTATCATTGCAAGATAACATCTCTATTTTCAGCTTAGGTTTTAATAAATTCACTTCCATGCTTGCTTCTAAAATCAGAAAATAATTTAACAACCTGCTTTACATTTCTATACCTTATGGTTATGTAGTTAGAAATGTTGATAAAATAAAAAGAACAAGCAGCCTTTACAGTTGGTAAAAGAAACATTAACTATATTTCAAACTGCATCGTTTATTAGAATAACTAGAAGAGAAGTTTTATGATGTATAAACTAGTTTGAAGAATTAATTATATAATATTCTTATAGTAACTAAGATCAGACAGTTTTTGAGAATGCTAAGTTTCTATGTTTTTAATGAAGAGGTAAGTAGGATAGTTTAAAAAAATTCATGTGTGCAAGAAAACATTATTTGAAATGATTAGTATTTAATTCCTCTTCTGATTCAATGCGTTAACAATATTTTTACAATGACTATTAGAGAAAATCATCAAATCTTGCTAGTATATTTTAGATTGCAATCTAAAAATGGAGTCATATCTCACTGAGAGTGAAAAATTCAATGTTTTCTTTAATCTTGCTATAAGAAGGGTCTTCTTACAGTTTACTAATGGAATATTTTAATTTTGTTTGTCTAAAGATATTAGAAAATCCAATTGGCGTTTATTTACAAACTTCTGTAGATTCTTGGTATAAATAATAAAGTCAAACCCACCTAGACTACAACCCAAACTAAAGTTACAGATTAACCAACCTTCCAAAATAAATTAATGCTATCAGAAATGCTACCACCAGCAAAACAATCAAATACTATTTACCAGTTTTCAATGAGTTGATAAATTTCATGCCAAATTACCATATATATATATATATCACACTTTCTTCAATATC